GTATTGGGAAGCCGAAACTGGGGTGTTGACCATCTGCAATTTGAACATGTTTCCTAGATGATTTTCTGCCTGCTAAATGAAGTATGAGAACTTGTGACTGAGGAGGCCTAAGGGAAAGGTCTCCAGAGAATGGCTTTTTCAAATTGGGGGACAAACCTGCCTGGTTTTTCCCACTCTTCCTCCCCCTCAGCAGGGTTCTTGTGCGTACACTCAAGAGCCTGAACCTCCCAGCAAAAAAGCATCCAGGGACTCGTCTCACCATAGAGTGCATGCGCCTCCAAGAGCTGGGGCAGCAGGCCCAAGTCCAGGTGGGCGGCCACCACGTGCATGCTGCTGAGGAACTTCTCCAGAAGGGCACGGTTCCCACTCTGGAGCTGGGGAGGGCGGGTGTGCTCATCAGCCATGGGACCAGGCTGCTGAGGAGCCTCATGCGGGCAGGAGGCACCACCCACTCCCAGACCCCACCTCTGCAGCCAGGACTTGGACCCACTTGTGGGTTGGAGGACCTCGAGGAGGACAGGGAAACGGAAAGGGAAAGGGTGGAGGGAGTTGGGGAGGGAGGGAAATGGCAGTGGTCATCGTGGGATAGGGTGAGGGGAAGGGCTGTAAGAACAGCCCCCAAAGTAGGTGTGGTGATCCACACTTGCAATCGCAGCACTCTGGGAGGCTTACGCTCAAGGACAGCAAGTGCCAGCTCAGCCTTGCCCACTGAAGGACTCAGTGAGACTGTCTCACAATGAAAATAAAGGGCTTAACGCAAAAACAAACACTTAACAATAGCCAAGGAAGGTACTTGTGAAAGGAGACTGTGGGATCTGGGGACTGACCAGGTGGCCCGGCAGGTCTCCCAGAGCCTGTGGATGACAATGTCGGAAGGAGCCTGAAGCGTCAGGGTCACATGCCTTCCAGAGCAGAGCTGTGAGAAAAGAACTGAGTACCAGGCATAGTGGCACAGACCCGCAGCCCAGCACTTCCAGACTGAGACAGCAGGATCACCACACGTCTCATGGCAGCCAGGGTTACACAGCAACTTCAAGGCCAGCCTGAACCACATAGCAAAAGGATACTTCAAACAACATAAATAAAACCCCCACCCTAGCCAGACAGTGAGGAGGGCTCAGGCCTGTGGCATCCTCAAGGTCCCATCTGCCGGGCTACAGCAGGGTCATCCACCCACTGAAATGGCAAGGGTTGGGGTCACCAGGTAGGGGCAGCCATGGGTGGCCCTGCACCCTAGGTGCAGGCATTAGACCAAGTGTCCAGCCAATGGGACTGAGCTCACCTGCAATGAGGATGTGTGCCGTGCTCTGCAGACCTCGCATTTTTCTATAGCGATGTCTGGCTGCTGTCTTCAGCAGTCCATCCGGGAGCCGGAGGCGGGCACCAGGGTGCTCCAGAGGGCCCTCCCCTAGCAAACTGTGCCCAGGAGAATTGGGCAGAGGAGCAGGGAAGGAGAGGAAGGAGGCAGTCACTGAGCACCCTGGCTTGGTGTTGGCCTCATTCCCACTTGGACGGGATGAGGTGACAGCCACTGCATCTGATACGAGCCTGGGAGGCAGTTGTTGGAGCCACCCCAGAGAAGGGGAGATCAAGGAAGGGTCTGGGCTCAAACTGGAAGGCACAGGTCTAGGCATAGTGGGAGTCGGGCTGGGGCACCCATATCTGCGCAGACTGCACAAGGTAGACAAACGAGCCCATAGGGTAAGGCTCTCCAGTGCTCCCAGCAGCCACGGCCTCCTGCCAGCTCTCAGTCCCCTTGGGCAGATTCCGCCATGCACTGAGCACTGCATGCAGCTGCTCCACAGTCAGACCTAAGAACCCAAGCGCTGTGAGGCCCGACCCAAAGCACAGTGTGCAACCAGCCCCAAGACACCAGGTCCCGCCTGGCCCTGATGGGAGAAATCCCACCTGAATCAAAGCACAGAAGCCCTGAGATCCTCCATCTCCCATCCCGCCCCAACCACTGACCACTGTGTGTGACTTCCAGGGTGGCCAACGCTCGGGGAAGGATGTCCTGGCCATGCTCCTGCTCCAGAGTGCTCAGGATGTGGTCCAGCAGCAGGGGCACAGTGGCAGGCAGGGTGCGTAGTCTCTCCGACACCTGGGAAGGGAAGAAGCCAGGCTTCCTGGGGGGTGTGAAGGGGCAGTAGCAGTTTGGTTGGGGAAGGGAACAGCAGGGGCAACAGCGGGAGAGAAAGACATGTGGAGAGAAGTGGGTGCAGGGTGTGAGAAGATGGAGACTGGGTGATCAGAGATGGCAAAGGTGAGAGATGTGGAAGAGAGACAGACCCAGGATGCTGCACAGAGACTGGGAAGTGGCTTAGGCTTGGAGATGAGGAGCCACCAACCTGCTCATAGAGTGTGAAGAGCCGAAGGTGATCAGTGACCAGGCGCAGGTACAGCGGCAGGCCTGATGCCCGCTTCACTAGCAGCAGTCGCATCTGGCGAGATGCACAGGACTCAGTCTGGGGACCGGGAGCCTGCCACAGCCTACCCCTATTCTCAACACCAAGCTCACTTCAGGGAGCTTTTCAGAGAGACCCATGAGGAGACTGCTCATGGCGAGACTTTGGGTCCAGCACCCTCACATCTCCGGGCAGCCACTCTGACAGGACACAGGCTCGGTACAGCCTGCGCCTCACTAAGCAGTTTACTGTCTACTGCCCAATGGGTTCTGTCAAGACAGTATTATGAACAACAGCCCTGGTGAAAAGAGCTTCAGAAAACAACTCAGCTGCAACACAGGATGGGGACAGACACCCTCAGCACCCCAAGTCTTCCTGCTCTCAGAGCCACCCCACAGCCCACCAGCCCTGGCCCAGGTCCAACCTAGTTGTTGAAAGGCAACTCCTCCAGCCACTTTCCATATAGCGCTAGCTCCTCCCTCACCAGCTGGGTTCGGTCAGGTGGGTCCAGAGGCCTTAGAGTGACCACATGGGCACCCTGGCTCTGCTCAAGGGTCTTGCCAAGGCCAGAGTGACTAGACACACTCAGCACCAGGTGTACCCACTGTGATTGGGGGCCAAGAAGCAGGGGAAAGACAAGAAACCATATTGGAGTGTCGCTCACCTCCTAGGCGTCCCTCCTCCCCCTGACCCAAAACCCCTAATTCCTTCTCTTGCTCACCCTGGGAAGGGACTTTGGGATCCAGGCTGAGATGAGCTGTCCGTTCTGGTTCACCAACTTGTCAGCCCCATCGATGATCAGCACCAGGGTCTGGCTGGGCTGGAGGGTCTCAGCGCAGGTGGGCAGCAGCTTCTGCTGAAGTTCCCACACCAGGCCCCTGCATGGGCAAAGGCAGTTGGTGTCAGGGTTGGAGAACTGCAGCACGCAGAGCGGAGGACCAGCACTGTACACACCTGTACGTGCTGGGGAGGGCACTGGCTTCCTTCAGCTGTCTTCGCAGGTAGTTACACAGGCGCCTGAGCAGGCTGAGGGCAAGACCCTGGTCGGGCCGGGCTCCTGAGAAGTGGAAGAAGACAGACGGAGCCACCTTGGCCCCAGCTGGAGCCCGCAGTGCTGATACAAGGGATGCCTGCGTGGACAGGGGCATGGACGTGGGCACATTTCCTTCACATGTACCTGGCCCCACCTCCTTAGCTACTCAGCACCCTTCACCAGTCCCCATGCATCAGACCCGGGACTCATACCAGGAAGGCGGTCTTGCCCTGTCCCGACTGCCCAATCACCAGGCTCAGCTTCCCGTGGGGCAGCATCAACTCCCTCACTGTGTCCTGAAGTAGCCGAGGCCGGGCAGGACTCGGTGGGCACTGTAGCTCCTGATAGGTGGCCTGCACCATTTCATCATCCGGGATGGACACTGGCCTCTCCGGCTCGGCCCCAGGCTGAGGGAGCAGAGGAGATATCAACTCAGCTTTCCTGGCTCCTGACAGACAGAATCCCACCCAGGAGTGTCCTCGTTCCCCTTGCACTCCTCTGGCCATCAGCACTTCTGCTCACCTGTAGGTAGAGCTTCTGGATCATACCCCACACATCCTGGAGAACCACCTGCCCGAACTCCTCCAGCCCCCCGGTGAAGGGCCGGCCAGCCGCTGTGCCCCCCCACTCGCAGGAGTACCTGCAGGGAAAGCAGACACTCCAGAGTCAGAGCGGCCCGGTGCCAGGCATCACATCCCTGGGTACCCGGAGCTGCCCACCTCCCCAAGCTCACCTACGGCAGGTGATCTCCTCCTGTCTGCTGAGGTAAGCCTTCAGTTCTGACATCCGCTGCGCGGCCTCTTCTGACTCAGAAATGAAGTCAGGTCTCCAGGTATCTGGTACAGAGCTGACCAGCACAGACAGCCCAACAATGAGGCTAGAGCAGACCCCGGCCTGCCACCACCCACCACAGGACACAGCTGTGACTCCAGCCCTTAGGCTCACATGGGCTGTAAAGGCACGTGCCCTGGATTGTGCTTCTCTCTCAGAGGAGACAGCCCACTGCTCCCCTACTCTGTGCCACACCAGATGGAGCCTGTGTGGCCTAGATGGGAGGGAGACCTGGCTCTGGGTCAATGACAGGCACCTGAGGAAACTGGAATCCTGGAGGTAGATGAGAGCTCGGGCAGAGGGCCGCAGGCATTGATCCCGGTTCAGGAACTGCATCACCTCCATCTCTGTCACGGAGCGGCCTGGCGGGTACTGCTGGACCTGCAGAGAGAAGGCCGAGATGGACAGGCTATGCCCCACATCCACTATCTTTCCCTGGAGAGCCCCAAAGGCTCAGTGCTCTCTCCTGTCAGCAGAGGCCATCCCTCCATTCAAATAAATGCAAGCTGTGAAACAGAGCTAACAGCTAACATGTACTGAAGGCTTGACATGTACCCTGAATTTCTGAAATTAATTTTCATTGTATCATGCCTGTGAATATAGATGTTCTTGCTTCTCTTTAATGAGGGGAAGATGAGAACAGATTAGGGAAGCCTCTTCCCAGAACACTTACCACCAGAGAAGGAGATAAGAACTCAGACTTGTCTGTGCCCAAACCTCAGCAGACCCATGCCTCAAAGGAGCCTCCTCCATGACCCTTGGTCCCTTGCAGAGTCCACTGCCTGCACAGCACTCCCTAGTCTGGAGCACAGCCTGTGTAGTGCTCCGGCTCCTGACAACCTGAAGTCTTGTCCAGCTCTTCCTCCGGGCTCACCGGCCTTACCCAACGGAAGTGAGGATAGTCAGGAAGGTTGTAGCTGGGGGGAACATAGCCGTAGCGGGAGCCGAGAATCCCCACGAACAGCTGGGAGTTCTCCACTTCCCCGAGGCACACCTCCAGCTGTCTGTAGGCAAGGTTACAGGACACAGGGGTCACTGGGGATCCAGGCAAGGAAGACAGGCACACAGCTGAGTGACAGGACCCTGGCTCACAGAGCAGTGGGAAGGCAGGCCACTTGTGTTGGCACCAAGAGACAGCAACCTGCCCCAGCCTCCCTCTGTTCCTGCACACCGACCCCTGCCTACCTGGGTTCCGCCCCTGAGACCCCTCTTCAATGATGTGGCGCTCCTGCCTGCACCTGTTCCTCCGGGTCTCCTCTTCAGTGACGCCCCAGCGCAGGTCGATGCCATGGAGGCTGATGCGGTGGGAGGTGGCTTGGGCCTGCAGTGCTGGCAACACGGACCTCAACAGCAGGTCCCGCTCCCCGTGCATGTCCCGGAAAGTGGAGGAAATGAACAGCCGGATGCTGCGCCAGCTGCGGGTAAGCAGAGGGCCAGGCTCAGCCTGCAGCTCGGGCCTCTCTCACAGCCACAGACGCAGATGCAGATGCAGCACAGGGTGTCTTGGGGTCCTCTGCAGAGTAAAATGCTGTGGTCTCCACTGCACACGTCCCGCCCACCCAGCTTTCCTCTTTTTGGCATTTTCCCAGAAGAAGAAAAACATCGCAGTGCAGCAAACCTGCACGCCCACCTGTAGACTGGAGGGTGTAATAGCTAAAGCGTGCAGACAGCCCGGTGCCCACCCACTGGTGACCCGAGAAACAAGATGTGGTCATTTTCATGCAATGGAGGGGGACTGCGGGACAGAGAAGGATAAGCTTGACAAATTTCCAGCTAAACGGATTCACCCCGAGGCCTTTCTCTTAAGTGACATAAGGCAGACACACACACACACGTGTAGATACTGCATTGCTCGTGTAGTGTGAGGCAAGAAGTGTAAAAAAGGATCAAAATATATAACAGATATTGTGAAATTAGGAAAAAAATATTCAAATGGGAAGGGGCATTGTGGAGGGGGAGAAGAGAAAAGGAAAAAATGATGAGAAAACAAAGAAAAATGGAAAGAAACTTCTTATAACAAGGTGAAGGGGCAATGAAGGGAGAGTAGGGGAATGGGGACAAAAGAATCAAATCATGTCAAGTATGGATACAAATTCTCTATAATGAATGAGATCATCATGTACACCTAAAGTGTGCCAATAAGCCTAATTAATAAAAAAAAACATGGGGGTTGAGGATTCAGCACAGTGCTAGAGCTCTTGCCTGGCATGTATGAGGCTCTGAGTCCAATCCTCAGTACTGCACACATTGGAGAAGTAACTATAGTATTAAGAAATTAAGCAACTGTCCTAAGGTTAAAGCTACTATTTGGAAAACTCAGGATGAGAAAGCCAAAAGCTGGGCTCCTAAGTGCTTCGCCTAAGCCCTGGCTCTATGGCTACAGGGCCTGATCCTTTCCTTGCTCCTTCCCTTCTTTTCACCACCCTTTCCCAGCAGAGAAAGGTGCTGTTCTCAGTATGTCCTTTCCATTGCTACAGGATCCCTGCCTTAGAAGGAGCGAACACATCTTAGTCACTAGGACGAGGGTATCTGAATAGGCAGGAGCTTGACCGATGGTTTCCTCAGACACAGATACAGAAACTGACCCACGCTGCGACAGAGGAGCCAAGGGGCTGGGAGCGTCCTCTCCAAGTGGCCGGAGCATCGGGGCCTGCGTCTTTCCCGGGGGTGGTGGTATCTTGAATATTCTGTCCATCTGTCCTACATGTTCTAGAAGATGTGATGCCCCATACTCTGAAATGGACCCGAGAACAAAATAAATGAGAGGAGGTTATTAGATGTCAGGATCAGAAAGGGTCTCCCAAGGACAGGGAGCAATGCCACAAGCAGGCCTAGTAAAAATATCTGACACCACAGAACCACAGGAATGAAGAGAAAGAAATCCTGCTCCAGAGCCTCTGCCTGTGCAGGGCACTCAGAAGATATTTGTAGTATCAGAGAAAACGGGACTGGGCTGAGGTGGGGCAGTCAAACCATTCCAGGCTGCGCTATAATCACCTCTGACCAGAGATGAAAATCCTGAGGGAGTGAATGTGCCTGAGATCTGCTAGAGGGAGCTGAGGCCACAGGCATCATCCAAAGGAAAAGGCAGGGAAGAAGAGAATAAAGAGGCCAGGAGGCGGGGTGGTGCCTGCCTGCATCTCCACATGCTGGGCAACTGAGGCAATTGGATGACAAGCTGAAACCACACCTGGGCAATTCAGTGCCTTAGTAAGGCCCTGTCTCAAAGTTTAAAAAGGCTTGGACAAAATTCAGTAGGAAGGCCCAAGATTCATTCCTCTTACCTCATATTAAAAATTAAGTAAATAAATAAATGGCAGGCTAAAAGCAGAAAACCCGACAGTCAATCATTTCTGCAATTCAGCATAAAGACAAGGATTTTCTCTGCCTCAGAGGTCACAGAGTGCTAGGACCAAATGCTGAGCTGCTTCCTTACTGGCTAGCACTGCCACCTCCCATGTCCCCTTCCTCTTTTCTCTGGGATCTAATGTAAACCTGGCAGGATACAAAATGGCTAGGGCTGAAGCCGCTATCCTAAACCATGAGGTAGGTGCTGCTGAGGATGGTGGAGCAGCAAGACGGCAAGTGCCTGGGTCCCCGTAATGCTGTCTAGCTTCTAGGGCCAATTAATACGAAAACAGGAATGTGCACTATCTTGCTGTTGAACAAGAGTGACTGGAGTAGAGGGCACAGGTAATCTCTCACAAACCTCCCAAGAAGGCTGCACCTTCCCTCCAGCATCTATTTTGTACTTACCTCAGTATCCCGTCTGTACAGCCTGAGAGCGTCAAGTAACTGGGATTCAAGTTTACAAACCTGAGAAAGGAGAGCAGTCACCGGGCCAAGAAGGAAACACTGAACAGCATCTGTGCGCTCAGCGCCCAAATTGGGTGCCCCATGCCCCACGGCTGCACTTTGCACACGATTGTGTTGCTGGGATGTAGCTCAGTGGAAATCCACACACCTGGTGTGCATGAGGCCTGCGCCAGTCCTTGATGCAGATGCAGATGCAGACACACACACACACACACACACACACACACACACACATACACACACACACACACTATGTGCTGGGCTAGGGTTAGGCTACACCTGCACAAAGAGGTGGAGAATAAGGATAAACATTTCAGATGAAGTTCTGGAACCTGATGTGTACAGCAGAGACAGGAGGTGCCAGAGAGGTGGGTTTTCCCAAGCTAGGCAGGAGCAGAGGAGAAGCCCAAATCACTATTTCCTACACTGGGCAGGGAGCTCAGGCATCCTTACCTACTTATTTGCTTTAGGAGGACAGTAACAAAGAGACACTTGGGATTCACATGCTGCCAGATGTATAGGGCTGGAAATGGTACATCGTAACAGGATGGGAAACCAAAAATGATGACTCTGTCCACCTGTAAGATAAGAGGAGAGTGGTGAGCCCAGCAGCAGGGGCAGAAGAGACAATAAGTAACTCAGGACATAGCAGAGAGATCTCTACGAATGGGAATGAGAAGAAATTGGGGCAACTGACTGCTGAGAAGGATTAAGAATGAAGGAAGTCACCACATACTGTTTGGACATCGCAGTGCAGGTAGGGCAAGGGACATGGTGTGCTGCAGCCAGCTCATTCACGCTCATTAGCACTGATGGTTTACCTTTTAGGTTTTTTCATGGGCTTGCTGTTGAACTCACCATTATTTTCTTTCATGATGCCCAGCACTGAACTCTCAACCCTCCTCATGTTAACCTCACGCTGTGCCACTCATCCACACCCTGAGCCAACATGCCTTTTTTATATGTTACATGGTGTAAGTTAAGAATGAGAGGAGGGCTGGGGAGATGGCTCGGTGGAATAAGCACTTCCCTGGCAAGTGTAAGGGCCTGAGTTCAATCCTCGGTTCTGCCAAAAAATAAAAGTTAATTAACTATATTTAATTATATTTGGCCAAGGTAATAAACCTTCAACACTTGTCACCCTAACTATATTACCTTACTATATTTTGTTACCATTACTACCTTGTTTACATCCCTGCCTGTGATATGGAATGAAGGCATGGTGCTATGCTACTGAGCACTTCTTCCCAGCTCTGTGCTTAGTGACAGGGTGTTGGTAACCTGACATCAGTCACAGTGCAACTACTGACACCAAAGAAAAGAGCAAACAGATTAAGTAAACTGAGTTGCCCAGACCACTACTGCTGAAATCCTGCAGCACAGGGAGCAGATCTAGATACTGTGAAAACTGTGAAAGATCAGCTTGAAGAGGCCAAAAATGAGATCGATCATTTGTAGAGGAAAACAGGGCAGAAGGGGAGAGCGTCACGGGGGCTGAGCAGTACTCACAGGCACCCTGCAGGCAGCCACAGAGAGCAGGTACTTCTCGGAAGTATGCACAGGTGACTCATCCCCTTCCTCCAACTCCTGAAGGAAAGAGGCTCATGTCATCAGTTGCTTGCACATGAGATAAGCAACGCTCAGGTTCCCACACCGACTTTGTGTGTCCTCAGGCGCTCACGTGTTGAAGTTGTAATCCCCACTGTGTGATACAAAGAGGCTGGAAAGTCCATCTGAGGAAGGCAGGAAGAGGTGGAGCCTAGGGAAGTCCTTACGGGTGTAAGGCAGCTCTTGTGAGACCCCTAAGGTCCTGCATGAACAAGTTGCTCTCAAAGCCCAGCCGTCCGGACCCTCAGTCACCCTCAGGCTTTCCCTCTCAGGAGATGAGCTCTTCCTCTCACATGCCCCAACCACAAGAGGCCCCACCCGAGCCAAACTGCTACCTGTGTCTCGCCCTCGCTTCTCCAGAACTGTGTGTGAAAGGAACATGCTTTTTTGTACAGTTAGCCTGCCTGACATATTTTATTAAGGCAATGAGAAACAGGCTAACACAGTGAATAAAGAAGCCGTGTCACGGTCTGCGGGGGATCCTCAACCCTCTGCACGTTCAGGGCTTTACTGTCTGGGACGCTCCCAGGCCTGTGTGCATCCGTGTATTTGTAGGAGGTCG